GCTCGTTTAGAAAAACTCCTTAAAAACAAAAACAAAAAGTTAGAGTTTGCGCTGTGGGCGTCGGGCGTCTTGTGAACGCGAAGCTGCAAGCCCCGTGGAGCGTGTCTTCTCCAAGCGCAGCTCGCGCGGCGCCGCGCCGACCCGGGCGCGTCACGGGCACCAGGCGCTCGCGCGGCTCGCGAGGCGCCCCCCCCCCGGACGTCCCGGGCCCCCCGGCCCCGCAGGTGGCGGCGCCGCGCCCGCGCGGCTTTCCGTGACTGGCGGTCTGCGCTCCTCAGTCCACAGCGTGAGCTCGTGCGCGGCGGCGGCCGGCCTGCAGTGGGCAGAGGCGGCGGACGTGGGCGGCCTCCGACACGGGACGGAGCCGGCCGAGGAGAGTGGGAGCGCGGAGGGGACCAGCGGCCTCGCCCCGCCGCCGGGTGAGGACTCAGCCCGGGCACCGGGGCTGCGCTCACGGCTCCCCACGCGGTCGCAGTGCGCGCCCGGGGGCCGGGAGCCCCGGCTGGCGAGCCTTCAACCGACTCGTTTTCTCGTTTTCCGATGATCCTGTACATTCTCCTTTTCTGCGGCTTCCTGACTGTGGAAATGGGGTGTTGGCATAAACTGGGGGATAACCAAGCTGACCGGACAATTAAACGGCCTCAAATCAATGTTTATTTAGTAAGAATCGGGCACCGCTTGCAAGACGAGTATAATATTGAAGGAACGCATCCGCTTTTATATTTACTTTAAAAGCCTCTTCATTTTATTAAATTTTATTATTATAGTTCCTTTAGAAAACATTTTATTATGGACGTTTCAGCCAGGAAAATAAAAAGAATAGCGTAGAATGGGTGACTAGTACCCATTCTACTTGTCTTCATACTTAGCTTTATAGATTGTTGAAACTCTACCCTTCTTAGAAAAAATTAGTTTAATAGAAGAATGTTTTTGTAACTATTGTAATACACTTTTTTTGCATGTTTTGATTTTTATTTATCGCAACAACAGCACTCTAATAGTAAGGGAATCTTTAAAAATCGTATAAAATTCTATTAGTGCATCTGCTACTTGTATGCTTTTCTTGTCATTAGGCAAGAATAGAAGGCAATATTTTTTCATAATTAAAACCATAGCTTTTTGCTTCCCCCTGCCCCCCATTGAAGCCCCGCGTTTTTTTGTTGTTGTTTTTTAAAAATTTTTATTGGGGAATTGGGGGAAGGGGAACAGACAAGTTGCTGTCATTTTGTTCTTCAGTCTAGTTGTGGAGGATGTTGCTTCACTGGCCCAAGTTGGCACCATCATTGCGCTCTTCCCGGGTGAGGCAGATCAGTCGCCGGCTTCTGGACGGCCACTCACTGGCCGCTCACGCTGGCTGCTGGCTACACACAGTAGCCCATGGCAACCCACTGCCACAGGGGCTGCAGCCTACACTGTCACCGGCGACTCACAGCAGCCCAGCTCCAGGTTGAGCTGTTGTTCAGCATCTTAGCTGTGGAGGGCAGTGTCACTGGCCCTCATATGTGGGATCCGAACCGGGGCCCTCTGGCGTCCCAAGCCAGTTCTTAACCATCGCGCCACTCGGCTGGCCCCGGAGCCCAGCGATTTAAAGTCGCTGTTTGGTCTCCTCCGTGATGGTTCTGCGCCTGGTCAGTTGCACACGTGGTTTGCGCAGCCGTTTCCTCAGGCCGGGCATTTGGGGTCTCATTGTGAGTAACCTCTTTCTGTGTGATGGATGGATGCCTCTTCTACCGGGTGTTTTCTCTGTGATGAACTTCCTGGAGTGGGGTTTGTGCTCAGAGGGAAGGATGCCTACGTTTGGGCGGCTGGTGCCAGCTGACAGTGCCCCAGGGATGTCCCCACGGACATCCAGCAAGGTCATCAGCACTGGCTGACACCCGCTGGCGGGAGCCACGCTTTCCACATGAGCTTATAACTCATTCATTTCCTTCTAAGTGTAAATCAGCCTGATTCGCTCTTTCTCGTTTGAGCAATTCAGTACCAACAACAACGAAAAAAATCACATCTGCCCAGGGTCTGTGGCTTGGAGGTCTCCTGCGGTCTCTGGGGTTTGGCGTTGCAGAGAGGAGCTGACCCAGAACCTGCACACTGGGTGGCACAGTGCCCAGCCCTCACATCGTGCATCAGCGACCGTTCTCAGGCCATGGGCCCTCCCATCTTCTGCGTGTGTGACAGCCTGCCTCTGTCTGCACCTGGCCTCCTGTGGCTGCGCCGTCCCCACCCCCAGTTGGACGGGGCTCTGATGCTTTACTCCATCAATGAAAGGTGATGCAGGCCTCTTGGGTTTGGTGAATTTTCACTGAGGACTTCGGTTGGAGCTGAGTTTAATCCTAAAACCGGTGGTCCTCTCCCAGCCGTGGGTGGTTGGGGGCTGATGGAAACAACAAAAGTCTACTGGCCACCATCTCAGTAGGAACACACTTCTGCCTGTTGATCCTGAGTCCTAGATCCCTCCCCACACATAAACCACCATATTCTTGCTTTAAAGGGCCACACAAATGGTAAAATGCACGCTTTCCCTTAGATACAGACACAGACTATGGTGTCTTCACCAGGGAGCCGCTTTCTGTCTCAGCTCCACTCTGGTGGGCTCTCCACTCAACACAGAGCAAGTTCAACCCCCCCACCCATTAGAGAAACCCCAGTAAGCTCACCCCACCCAGGCCGCACCCCTTTGTTATCCACCTCCTAGCATCTACTGTAGGGCCTGGGCCTGAGAACACCACCTGGAAACCACTTTTGTTTTCTTTAACACGCAGGGTGAGTTCCAACTGCTTCAAACCTCAGAGCTTTTGTGTGTATGTGAACATGTGTTTTCCTTTCATAAGACAAAAAAACCCCACATTTCTTTGAGATTTTTGGCCACCACTGAATTCCGGTGCTAAAAGGCTAACTTGATGTTAAAGAATGATTTCCTTTAGAAACAATTAACATACTGGCCACGATTTCTGTATTTTTCTGAAATTGCAGAACGTTATAGATGTCAAGCCCCAGGAGTCAAGAAGCTCTTATTTCTTCTGGAGATTGTTTAGGCCGTAGAGGTTGATTTTTGCTGCTTTTGTATAATTACAAGTTATTAACTATTTGTTGTCAGGTTTGCTATGAAGCTCAACTAAGGGCATGAGTGGGAACTGCGGGCCTGCCATCCCTGATGGGCAGAAAAAAGATTGAAGGGTGGCTCCTGGCATGATGCTACAGCAGCTGTATATTTCTAAAAAATATATATATAAAAATAGCTTTATATTAGAGAAACTTTATATTAGAGAAATACAAAGTTCACACAGTCAAACATTAACTGGGTTAACACACTGATATTGAAAGTGTTGCTACAGGGTCATAGGAATAATGAATGACCTGTAAGTGGTTTTAGGAATAAAAAAGGTGCCACATAAAGTCGCTGGCACAACTGTTTGTGCTGAGAGGGGTGGCTGAGGTTCAGTCACCAATATCCTTTGATTTCGAGTCCTACGAAGTCGAACGAGGGCCCTCTCCTCGCCCAGCAGCACCCAGCCCAGAGGTCACGCTGTCAGTCAGCTCAGCGTGCCTGTCCCCCAATTTGGAAGTGTTACTGCGGGTGTGGCAGGCAGGTCCTCCCGAGGCCTCGCTCCTGGGCGTGTAGATGCCATCTTGTCCCTGTCCTCACACGGTCCTCCCCCTTCGTTTGTGTCAAAATTTATCCCTTTTTCCCTCTTCTGACACTCCATTTTACTCCACTATTTGGGGAAAATGTCTTCTTTTTATATGAAAAGAAACAGTGATTATTATGGCGATAAATGAAAAACTTGCATTGTTTTCAGAAGACAAAACAGGGCATCAAATTACTCCTTTTGTTAAGGACGTGGTCTGTGGGGTCACGGCCCGCCCTACTGCTTATGAGATCATCCTAACTGATGCCCCTGGCAACAGCCCTGCTTCCAAGTAAGCTGACTGTCTGAGGTCCCGGGGGTCAGGACTTCAACGCTGAATTGGGGGAGACACACTTCAGCCCAAACAGTGTTAACACTGCCAGCCCTGGGCTCTGTCATGTGAGCCCAAGGAGATAAACCCTCGCAGGGGCCGCTCGGGACTTTTAAGTGGCACAGCACTGCCAGGTAGCTTGAACCTCAGGTGCCACCCTTCCACCCCCAGGGGGAAATGCGCTTCCTAACGCGTTTCAGTCAAATACCGGAAATCCACGAGAACCAGACCTCCCTGAGAACACCCTACACGTCCCCAGCGTTCAGAGAGCTGACTTGCCCGCTGTACACACACCCTCCCCTCCGGCTGTGAGGCTGAGCTGCGGGTTCAGGACTTCTCAGAGGCCAAGACGGGCTGCCCAGGGTGGCAGGGAGGCCGCACCGCTGGGGGACCGCCCTGTGCCCGCAGTTCAGCCTCATTGAGCCAGTCCCTGCACCGAGGTGGACGTGGCATCCCTGGAGCCCAGACCTCTGGCTTCAGTGCAGGGCCGGCTGCCTGATGCTGAACTTCGGGGCACTGGGACGGCCGCCGCTCTGGGGCCTGGGGGTGCTCACCCTCGGCTCCCCCATTGGTCTGTGGACCTCACCCTCAGAGCCTCAGGCTTCAGTGCGCCCCGGCTCCCCCGGGTGGCATCGTAGCAGCCCTCGGCCCTCTGTCCCAGGGGCCCGCATTTGGCCAGAGCTGACGGTGGGCTGAGCGCCCTCCTGTGGTTACGGATCCCCGGGGTCAGGGGTGGACATGGGGGCGCTCCGGAGCAGTGACCTGCCTGCCAGGGGCTCCACTCCACCTCTGAGCAGTGACCCCAACCCCCATGGGGGGAAGGATGGCCACCTCCTGTGAGCAGCGTGGGGCTGCGCTGCTCTCAGTGTTTCCAGCATTTCCAGGGAAATTTCAGCGTCCCTTCCAAGACCACGGGGACAGCTCGCGCGGCCGCCTCGCCCTCTGGCGGGCCTGGTGTCTCAGGGCAGGTGTCATGGCCCCGGGGCAGCTGCAGCTTGGACCTGACAGTTCAGCTTCTCGTCCGGCCAGGTGAGAAGCCAGGTCACTACCTCTGGAGGCCTGGGGTCCTCATGCTGGCCTCACCTTGCCCTGTACCCGGTCACTGAAGGTCACCTACGGCCCTTCAGGTGGGTCTCAGAGTACTCAGAACAGCAGAAATCGCGCGCCTGAAAAGCAAGCCCCCACCTGTGTCTTCCGAGCCCCGGGCAGGCGCACAGAGGCCATTTGGGTCGGCTTGGTTCTCCAGTCTCTAGTCACACACCAGCGGGGCCTTTCCTCTCCACTTGGTCCATCTTAATGTGCTTCCGACCTTTAACTTGAGCTTCATTTTTCTGTCACGTGCTCTCAAAGAGCAGGCGACTCAATAAACCACCAAACCCAGAGGCCACTTTGAAGGGCGGTGAGGAAAGCCTGGTGCAGAGAAAGCGAGGTGTCGAGGTGTCGGGAGCCCTGCTGGGCTGTCAGCGTCCCTCTCTGGCCTGGCTGCCTGAGTTTGAGAACAGAAAGTAGCCAGTCTTTTAAAGGCACGGAAAACCGACTGGATTTCAA